CAGTCTTTATTTACCCGGTTAATGGATGTAAGTCATAGCTTAAATCTTCTGATGCACAAAGTTTTCAATCATCTGTATTTTTATTCTGAGTGACTCAGACTTGAAGTATAATCAGCACAATATTAATTTTGCAGCACAGTTAGAAGCAAGCACTGTTAAAAATACAGAATGATAAAAATGCCCTTCACCTTTTTTCCGTGCACAATAGTGTCTGTATTTTCAATGGGAATTCCAGTGAAATGTCTTTTAAATACATATACAGTTCAAAATCCACAATGTGAATTGTATCAAACAATAAAATTATTAAAGTGTAAAATACATGCCTTTTTTCCCCCTCTGTGATTAGTATTTTTATGAGGAAAATGGACTGTGTGTAGCGTGTAATTGTCAAGATGGAAAACATATTTTTCAGGCATTATTGACTTGCCTGCATATGCATATTGAGTACATTTCTAAATATAAATGAAATGTATGTATTATTAAAGTGTCCTACAAAGCTAGTCATAGCTGTTTTCTAGTCCAAGTATTCTTAAGTGGAGATAATACTAGAAAGAATAAAAAAATGTTAAATTGCAAAGCAACATGCAGATTGGGAAACAAATAGTATTGTGCAAGAGGGTTCACTTTTCAAATAAATTATTTATTTTAAACAAACACACCCCAAAGTTTTGAATATGACTTCTGCGATTTTTGGGTATCTAATGTGAAATGCAAGTTTCCCACAGCACACGAAATGCAGAGTTTCCCACATTCTAAAAGCATTCCTGAAACATCATAGTTCAGGTGTGAAGCCTCGAGTGCATTCAGAATTTTAATATTTCATCAGTTTATTTAAATTAAGTAGGAAGCATAAGATATTTTACTGGTTACAGTGGGCTGGCAATTCAAATAACTTTTAATGATGTAATGCAAACTTGTAAATCATTTTCAGTGAGGGCCTCATGGCTCAGCACAACTTTTCTGTAGTATACTAAATTGCTGGCATAACTTTAAAATTTGTAATGCTTGGAGATCATGAAAATAAGAACAGAAGCCATATGTATGTGGGAAAAGTAGCTGAAAATATGAATTCAGGCTTAAAAGTTTTTACAGATCTCCAGTTGTCTTTAAAGCAAAAATTGTGTCTGATAAGTGTTAAACCATGGCACATGTAAGTGCTATAGAGAGTGAAATGGAAGTACACCACAGAAATGCAGTATTAAAATTATGAAGTACACATTGTGGTAGTGCAATTTCTCAGAAAAAACATGGTTTTATGACAAAGTATTGTAAAGATACTGGTACACCATAGGTTTAGAATAATAAATGTGATTATTGTCAATTTTAACTAATCAGGGATTCAGTATTTTTGACTAGTCAGTGGACAGTTATTCATTTTCTTTGCTAGGATTTTCAGTTAAGGCATTCAAGCATCTCTGAAATGATGCATAATCCCCAGACTTTATTACTGCTTATATCTGTGGGTTTATATTGCAGCACAGGTACCAAGAGAAACGAATTATATTGCTACAGAGGGAGTTAAACTGGCAAAAATTTGGGAAAAAAGAAAAGGCTGAAAATAAATATACATCTGTTGTGAATCTGGATTGACTCTAAGGTTAAATGATGCCTGCATTGACCAAATTGCCATGGAAAAATAGGAACTGATCATAATCACAGTAGAATAAAACTTTGTCCTCTTGTTTGGTAGGCTCTTGGGTACAATAAAAACTTTGGCAAAAAGAAACTGAATTCATATTTGTAAGCTTTCCCTTTGACAGTAAGGAAAATATTCTTAAATGGTGTAAATTGCCATCCTTTTGCTGACTTCAGCAAAGTTATGACAATTTATATCACTCAAATGGTGGTCCCCAAGTATGACTTATCTATCTGATTTTTTTGTAATACGCATATTGCAAATTTGCAAACCACACACTAGAAAGAACTGACGAGAATCCTACTTACATTCTGATAAATATTCGAGAAGGTGGTTCTTTCAGTCTCCAACGTAAAAAATCAGAAAGACTACAAAAGTCCTGAAGAGGAGGAATTGTACACTGGTTCGTCCAGGTCAATTTTACACGATCTCCTTCCCCATAAATGGTAAGCTAAAAACCCAAAAACAACCCACCAGCAAAACCAAGAAACACAAAGTGAATGCAAATAGTAGCCCATACATGAAAATATAAAGGATGTTCCAAACTGTGTTGGCTCCAGATGTTTTTATGAGTTAAACAGTTTACTGTTTTCACATATTTAAAACATTCTAATTTTTTCACTTGATGTTTATAAGCTTTGGGCAAACTTGCTGGCATTGATTTAAGTTATGCTTTTGTACCACATGTAGGTTAAACACACTTTCTGAAAAGGTACAATGCGAAAAAGAATTCAATCATTAACATTGAGAGGCAGCAACTGCTTGCATTTTTTTCCAGTAATTATTCTGCTGTTACTGAGAAGCTTTGCGCTCAAGCTTTAACTAAAAAGTTATAATTTTTTTACAAAGGATGCTATCATATAGCCATAGGTATTTGGTAACTGCACAAAAACTTCCTGAACTATTTCAGAAAGTGTTTGAAGCTGTTTATTTGCCTTAACATTAGTTGCCTATATTTGCATTCTCCTTACATAGTTTAAAAGGAAAGCATAAAGCTCTGCAGTGAACTGCATTTCCAGTTCATGCGTGCTTAAAACTGATTTTTAAAGAAGTAATAAGAACACTTGGTGTAGGACTTGTGAACTTATTTGGGAACTCAGAAGCCCAAGGAAACACATTCCTGAATAGTCAGATTTGGATATGAAACTATTGAAAACACAGAGTTGTGCCATTATAGCATTGCTATTGCATTCTTCTTCTTCTTCTTCTCTTTAGGAACCTCTCCTACCTCTCCCTAAAATGTCCTATTTGGCTTGTCTCTTATTTCTCTTGGAAACCTTATCTTTCTCTTCTTTCTCTCTCTTCCTTGCACCCTCTCACTTTCTTCAGTGTGCTTCACTTATTTAACTTTTTTTTTCTTGTTATGTGCGAGAAATCCTGCATGGCCACCCCCTAGAATTTAGAAAAGGCATTTTTACACCGCCAATGGTTTCGGGACTTCCCCGACCTCTTCCCAGCTTTGGCGGTGTGAGGGCTGCAGCCACGGCGGCCCTGGAAGGAGGGATGATGCTGCCATTCCTGCCCCTCCGGCCCCGGCCCCCCCGACGGCGGCTGGCCCCCGCGGCCGGGGCGGGCAGCAGCAGGTTGGAGAGCGGCGGAGGGCAGCGCAGCGGTGCGGTGAGATGCGGAGCGGTGAGATGCGGAGAGGAGCGGAGCGCAGCGCAGGGGCCGCTCCCCGCCCGCACCTGGGGCCGCCCGCCCGCCCCCGCTGCCCTCGGGCCGCCGCTCCGCGCCTGCCGCTGTCCCGCACTCATTGCCCCATGGCAGCGCCTGTCGGTGCCGGACAGCAGCACCCCTGCGCTGGCAGCCGGCGTGCTCCCGAACTCCAGAGGGGTTCAGCCATCGAGATTTCTTTGTATCCCTCCCTTCTAATATTAGAACACATATTGAAACGATAAACACAATGAAAAGCACAAAATATTTCATCAGTGTTGTAACTGTATATTTCCTTTATTCTGAAGAAATATCAAGTTTTGAACGGTGCACAGAGGCAGCAACTTCTGCTTTGGACGCCGCTCTCTTTGTAAAGACCGCGTCGCTACAGTTAAATCTAAAGGCAGTTGTTAAAAAGAGTTAGATGTCAGAAAAGGGGGGAAATCTTACCGTCGAAAGACTGCTGCAGGTTCCAGCTCAGTCTGAAACTGCAGTGAAAAGCAGAGCAGCTGCTGAACAAAAGTTTTAGATTTTTTTTAAAGAAAGTCTGCAAAACTAATTTCCCACAAAATAGGACTCAATTTCCGTTTAAGAAACTAGCTCTTGCAAAAGTCATACAATTGCTGATTTTTTTCCACTAGCAATTGAAATTCATTTTATCTTTAGCACATGGACCCAAGAATTTAGACTTGAGAGAAATGGTTTTCTTTTTTTTTTTTTTTTTTTTTTTTAGTTTTGTTTTGGGGGGGAGGAGGAGCAAGGTACATGGAGCAGGAAGAGCTGAAGAATAAAACTTTGGCGCAGTGGGCACCTCTTTGGTCATTAATCGCTAAATGCGTTATCCTGATTTAAACCAGTTAAGAGCCGCTTTGGTGGCTACTGTAATTCCACTACACGGACGTCAAAAATAATTTTTAAAAATAAAAACTACAGAAAAAAAAGATAGGCCCAGACTTTCCAGATTGTCCCCCAATCCACTAAAGACATTTGCAACGAAGCAAATGAAGATAAAGCAAATAAACATTATGCGACTTGTTGTTTTGAAGGGGCAGAGGGCAAGAGGAGAAACTTTTCTCTGTACAGCCAGCGTTGCTGGCACGGTGGGGGCCGGTGGGTTCATTGCAGAAGCGGCTGCCGATGCTGGGGCACAGCGCGAGGGCAGCCGGGGCAGCGCCGCGGCCCACGGCGAGTGCCGGGGCGGTGGGCGCGGGCGGAGCGGGTGCAGGACCCGCACCGGGACCCTCGGAGAGGGCAGCGCGGCCCCGGTCCCGGCCCGGGCGGCCCCGCACGCCGCCGCCCTCGCACCTGGACCCGCAGGTGAGGCTCTGGCGAGAGCACTTCAGCCCCCGCGGAAACGGGGCGGCGGTGCCCCCGCGCCCCCCGCCCCAGAGTCACCCCCGCACGTCGCCTCACGACTTTACCGCGCTGCCCCGCCCGCTGCCCCCGAAGGGCGGCAGGACCCCGGGCGGTCGCTCAGCCCCGACGGGGCGGGGATGGCCCTGCGGGGCCGCCCGGGGCGGGGGGCTCGGGGCGGCCGGCGGGGGGCGCGGCCCCGGGCCCGGGAGGAGCCGCTGCACCCCCGCGGAGCCGCCCCCCATGCCCCCCTCCCTCCGCGGGCCGCGGATGCCCGGGGCGCGGGTGCGCAGCGCTGCCGCCCGCTGACGGAGCCGCTCGGCGCGGGGACGGCGCTGGCGTTTTGGAGGGAGTTTGCATGTGGTCAGTGCTGTGCTGCTGAGCCAGCCCCCAGCTCACATTACACACTACTGTATTTATAACCTCTCGAAGCTGTTTCCCCCTTCAAGCAGTTCTCTGGGACCACCTTCTATTGGCTTCAACCTCTCCCACTTCTTGACATCTGAGCAGCTCTGAGAACGGCTCATCTAGGTCCGAGTGTTTATGCAGCGGAGACTGGCCACTAGGGCTAAAGACCTGGATTATCTGAGCTCAGCTGCCTGCTGCAGAGTCTGTCGGTGCCGTTTTGGAAAAAAAAATCCCAGCCCCGATCTGTTTACAGTGAAAGTTGACAAAGGGTGGTGAAGTTGGATCTTTTCTAAACTCTCCTGCCTGGAACCTGAGACTTGCATGCCATGGATCACACACTCTTTGGCTGCCTGCGCAGCCCCCATGCCACTGCGCAGAGCTTGCACCCTTTCTCCCAGTCTTCTCTTGCCCTGCATGGAAGATCTGACCACATGTCCTACCCTGATCTGTCTTCTTCTTCTTCCTCTTGCATAATAGCGGGATACCCCAATGAGGAGGGCATGTTTGCCAGCCAACATCATAGGGGGCACCATCACCATCACCACCACCACCATCACCACCACCAGCAACAGCAGCACCAAGCTTTGCAGACGAACTGGCACATTCCTCAGATGTCGTCTCCTCCCGCCGCGGCCAGGCACAGCCTCTGCCTTCAGCCTGACTCAGGAGGACCCCCGGAGCTGGGCAGCAGCCCCCCTGTCCTGTGCTCGAACTCTTCCAGCCTGGGCACCAACACCCCCACGGGGGCAGCGTGCGCGCCAGGGGACTATGGCAGGCAGGCTCTGTCCCCGGTGGAAACAGAGAAGAGGTCCGGCAAAAGGAAAAGCGACAGCTCAGGTAAAGGTTCGCGCGTTCCCCGGCGGGGCGGGATCCCCGGGCGGCGGGGCTCGGGGAAGCGGCGCGGTCGGACCTGCTGCCGCTCGGCTGGGCTGGTTTAGCTCGGCTCGTTTAGCCCGGCTCGGCTGGCCCGGCTCGTTTGGCCCGGCTCGGCTCGGCTGGCCCGGCCACGGCCGCAGCTGTGCTCTCGCCGCCGGCTGACACCGGGCTACCGGGCTGTTCCTTCCCACAAACGCGCTCTCGGGATCTCCATCACTAACGCAAGCTTTATTAAGGCTACGGGGGGAGAAATAGAATGAAAAAATTCAGCACGTGATAGAGTATGAAATCAAGGTGGCGGTGGGGGAGAGTTTCCTACAGCCAAGGAGAGAAACGTTTGTAGTTTTGGTGCGGTTTTCAGCATCTGGTCCCGCGGCCCCCTCCCCCCTGCCCGATACGACACCTCTGCTTCAAAATTCAGAATCCAGCGCGCTCCTTCCCCTCCGCCCCTTCGCCGTGGAGCTGACTGCGGCTCCGAGGCGATTGCACAACGCTTGGAAGCTCTGCCTTGGAAGCGGGGATTCGGGAGAGGAGCTGATGCCTTGCTACCCTGTAGGATCTGAGTGAGCCTGCATCAAATCCTCAGCGTGAAAGGGGCAAAATTTGTGAAACAGACGGTTGAATAGGAGTTTCAGAAAGCTGCTTCACTTCAGTTTTCTGGTGGCGGGGAAGGAGGCAAGGAAGGAGCAGTCTGCCTTTTAAAATTACAGTAATTCTTACTTAAAGGCAAGCATAAAAACATGTAGACCCGCTGTCATTCCAGAGCAATGATTTGGCATCAATGAATGGGTAAAAAACCTTGACATTATCTCTGCTTTCTAAAATAGCAAAGCCTGTCAAAGTCCTGCTCTGATAAAAGCCACTCGGCAAAGGCAACACAAGTGATGGGACTTCTGTTAGGGCACACATGAGCCGGGGGGTCACCAAAAATATAGAGAGACAGGCAGGAGGCACTTGAAAGAGAGAGGGCTCAACAGATTGAAAATTCAAGAGCTGGCGTAGCAAATTATTTGTTATCACAGAAGAGAAAGTGAAAGGCTTTTCCAGATACGTATGAAGTTCACAACTGAAACCATAACATCTTTCACTCAAAATGCTGTAAGCTTGGTAGAGAGCAAGGAACACAAAGGATTTTAAAAAAATGATCCTCAAGAAACCATCACTTCCTTCATTGTCCATTATATTAGCAAATATTTACAGTTACAGTAACTCAGAACGTATTTATCTGAATTGCGTCTTACATAGCTGATATAGTTGCTGAAAACTCTTCTTGCGTTTAAAGCTGTATTTAGTTCAAACACTGCTGGTAAAATCTTTTGTTTTGTTTTGTCTTCTTTACTTTCAATGAGAAAAAGAATTATCTGATTTTTTGAGGTATATGGACAGTCCCTGTTACAACTGAGAAAATAACTGGATGCCTGATGGTGTAAGGATTTATTGTATTTGTCGGTCTATTTAAAGCTAAAGGAAAAAAGGAAATTGGTCCCCTTTCACTGTCAGGGAAGTATCTGATTCACTTTCTGTTTATTTCATTCTACAATGCAAACCTAAAAAACACCAGTGAGGAATGTCCTAAACCTTACCCTGAAGTGACTGGACTCTTCCACTGGATTAGTGGACAAGAGTTTGAGCCTTTAGCCACGGTCATGTTTATCTTGCAATGCACTTCGATCCTCACTTTCTAAGACTTTCTGAAGATCAAGGCAGGTAACTATTTCCTCCTCCCTTCCGCTAAGAAAAAAAATACGACTGTTCACACAATTGTGAATCTCTCAAACTGAAAATAGATGTCTTTTGACAACAACTGCATAGCTGCTGTATGTTTGGTTTTTCTTCAGGAAAAGCCTGCGTTTTGGACTGAATATTTAACCCCACCCCTTTATTAGTCCTGAACTCTGGTGCTAGATATTTAATGCTGTTCTCATATATGGCAGCAAGAATTATTTTAACTTGCTGTGTTTCTATATTTGTCAACCATAATTGCCCCTCATTTGATTAAACATCATCACCTTTATTTCTCATTAATCTTTTTTTTTAAACAAATGACTGTACTTGAAGGAATTTCTTCCATGCCTTCATCAGACTTGGAACTACTTCAATAGACATTTGTAAAAAATCCTAATAGTAAATAACTAAGAGGTGAAGGGAGAGAGAGACTGCTTTAAGTTTCAGTGCCAGCATTCTGAGACAACTATTAATGCTCTTGCTTATTTACACATATATTTCCTCTTCTTAAGCATATCACTTAAAACCACAGAATGCTCAGCGTTTTCTTGAGCACTGAATCTGTTCCACATTTCAGAGCTGAATTAACCTTAGGCTACCCCTTTCTTCCACTACTTAGCTTTTGTTTCTGTGTGTTTAAGATTACAAACCTGAGTTTGTAGATAGTTTAAAGAATGTAAAACATGATCATTCCTTGTATGATTTACCTTCCAAATGAGTAACTGTTTCTTAGCTGTATAGCTACTCTGTGAAAATTTACCAGAAGGGACACTCTATTTTACTTACTTGTATGATGACGGGAGTGCAATGTTTTAAAATTATAAACAAAAATCCAGAGGGCAAACAGAATTTGGTATGATGGACTGTGTGTCTTTTACCCGGACTTCATGTATTGCAAGGGAATGGGAGGACATAGAAACATTCTTCTCTAATCTGTTGCAGTTTCATTTGGGATTGAGAGAACAAGGTGAAATGTGCTCTCATGATAGTTATATAAACTGACTTACAGTTTTCTTTAGCCCTAACCCAGATTTTAAGCATTTTGGGAAGTTCCCTTTGAAGATATTGAAAAGACTGCTGCAGAACAGGGTGAAATTTTCAGCTGTTCTCATTGCAAAGGACTGGGAAATTCTGTATTTTGTAGTCGTCAACCCCTGCTTGCTGCAGCTGTCAGTGTCTCCAGGTTTTGTAGTTGCTCTCTTTTAATCTGCAGAATATTCCTTTCAACCTGCCCAGGCCCAGGAATGGGTCGGTAAAGCTGCCTCTGAGTTGAGGAGTGGTGCATACAAATCTTTCCATGTTAACATTTTGCAGTGAATAATGGCATCTGCATCCTCACCTTTGTAACTCAGCTCTTCGGATGTCAAGGCTGTACGAGTAGAGAGACAATACTAAATCTGAGGCTTGGTTGCAAATGAAATAGCTTATTTTAAAGTGCCCTAATGGTCAGAATTATCTGTGTGCTAATGAGGTGCGGATGAAAACCATGCTGAGTGTATAGAAAACATATTCTTGGAGTGCTTTGTTGCTTTGTGGTATGAGTTGTTCTATATGGAATATTTTGGATTTTTCTAATGCCTCCCCTTCTCTTTACTTGCCTGTTAGTTTCAGGGCCATTTTATTTCTGTTTATTATAAAGTAAGTTTTGATTCTCAGATAATGCAGAGCACATAAGATGCAAAGTTACTTCTGTGATTTCCAAAGTTACGTTACTTAGGTCCAAGTTTTCTTAAGACTTCAGTCGGGAAAAAAGCATACTAATGCCTATATAGGAGGTGCTATCTAGATTTACTGAGAAATATGAAAAAAGAGTGGATCTGGTAGACTTAAGGAAGTCTAAAATGCTATGGTGAAAAAACCATCTGTACTATGCTGAAAAGACCAGGGGGAGGCTGAGTACAGTTGTAGGAGTTCTTCTAAGCAATACAGCTATTCAAACATTAAATTGCAAGAGATAAATATATAAGGAAATTGCATTCCTGTTAAAGTCTAATGTAATTAAACACTTGCCCTCAGGCATGAAAAGCCTTTTTTAAAAAAAAAAAAAGGAAACCAAATTTTGCCATGGGAAAATGCTTTCTGTGTGGCACAGGTTTCCAAGAAAAGGCTAGCAGGTAATAAAAATTCTTCATATTTTTGAATGTATTTACAATAGTAGCATTTAGAAAAGCATTTCAGGAATCCACTGTTTCAACAGTTCGGCCAAGTGTGTTCTGGTGGGTTTTGTTCATTCACAAATCACATGAATAAAAACAATACTTTTTCCCCCTGAGTTTTAATATTTTATAATCTACCTATTCTCAAGATGCGAGGAGCAAAAAGTTACATCTCCAGGCAATTTATTTTAAACACATCTAAATATCATAAATCATATGTACTTGTTTGAAATGGTCTCTAAAAAGCAGGTCATTTTGATAAATGATTATAAATACTGTGAAATCATGAGTTTTGAGGACTTTTGATTGGTTTCTGAAACATGTCAGTAAGAAAAATGAGCTGCACGCTTGTAGTCAAAAAGCACTGTGTAACTGATTCATCAATATGTCTCTGCTTTTCAGTGTGGTTGTAAAGGGAAACAAGAAAAAATACATAATAAAGCGTAGTTTTTCTGGAAAGAGTTAATTTGTTTGGTATCTTGTATAAAAGCATCACTTACCCATAAGAAAACAACAACAACAACAAAAACTCTGTAGATTTTATAAATGAAACAATTTCAAAATCTGACAAATAATACACACACTTTTAGGAGAAAACCTTCAAGACTGATCACTTATTAAATGATGGACTTACTAGTGAGCTACTTGCTGAATTGTTTTAATAGATGAAAACTTGCAAGAAATTCACTTTCATTCTCAGGAAATATAATCAGGAACTTTTCTAAGGCTAAAATTTTGGAAGACTCTTTTGCTGATACATTTTCAAAATTCTTTGCCCCTAGCCAAACAAGAACTTTGTGCGGACAAAAAGAGAAAAAAAAAAAGAACTACGTGTGGCTCCTAATTATGCATTTCTATCTGTTTTATAAATGATTCAGGAGGATTTACACTTCTCCTTCTCCCCCTCCTCGTCAACCCACCCTTTCAGAAACACTGGAAGGCCGATCCAGACCTTCACGGGATCACAAAGGGTTTTGTGAGAAGGTCCATTGACTACAGTGAAACCACTGAAGTGCTCAAGGTTTTTTAAGCAATCAGAGCTTTATTCTTTTACATGGGCATTGAAGAAAAATGCTTTGT